TTTTAGTAAAATTTTTGAAAAACCTAATTCAATTCTTTTGATGAATTCCTTTAAATTTTTTTTAAATATAATGGAGTTTAATGAATAATTGTAATTGAAAATTTTTAAAGTAATTAAATTTTATGAAGAATTTTTGTTAAGCTTTCAAAATAATCGAGTTTCTTAATAATTGAAATTAAACATTTAATTATTGAACTTCATTAAAATTTAAAAAAAAAAAATAATTTAATTCTTCTGAGAATTTTACGAAAATATAGAAAATAATGAAATTTTTTTAAAAAATTTCTTTAATTCAATAAAAACAATAGATTTTGCGAATTAAGAAAAAATTAAATTCTTTCGAGAAATTTTATTGAAAATAATAATTGATTTTTTTGCAAAGGAAGTAATTTAATTGTTTTGAAGGATTTATAAAAACTTTAGAAAATAATTGAATTCTTTCGTGAAATTTTATCAAAATTTTGTTGAAAATAATTAAATTTTTCCGAAAAATTGCACTTACTATTTATAAAAATAATTGAATTGTTTCGAAGAATTTATTATAATTTTAGAGAATAATTTAATTGTTTTGGAAATTTTGAAAGCAAATTAAAAAAAATTTAATTCTCTCGTGGAATTTTATCAAAATTGATTAATTATTGCAAAGATTTTACTATTTACAGCTGAGATATAATTGAATTGTTTTCAAGGCTTAATAAAAATTTTAGAAAATAATTAAATTCCTGCGAGCAATTTTATTATTTATTAAAATAGTGAAAATAATTTATTTCTTGAGATAAATTTAATTAAAATCTTGAATAATTTTGTAATTAATAATTCTATTATTCAATTTTATTGACATTATTGATTGTAAATTAATTTCTTTTCAACAATATTATTAGAATTTTTATAAATATTAATTTTTTTGAACTATTTTTTAAGTTTTTTGAGAATAAAGTATTTTTTTAATAATTTCTATTAACAATTTTTAAAATAATTGAATAAAACAAAAAAAATTTTTTTTAACTTTTTAAAATAATCGTGACTGTTATTAATTATAATTAAAAATTGGATTATTGAATTTGATTAAAATTAAATTGAAAATAATTGAATTCCTGAGAAAAATTTTATTATTTAAAAAAATAATTGAATTTCTAGGAGAAATTTTATTATTTTTTAAAATAGTGAAAATAATTTAATTCTTGAAAAGAATTTAAATAAAATTTTGGAAATAATTGAATTTTTTGCGAAGAATTTTATTAAAATTGTATTAAAAATAATTTATTTTCTGAGAAAATTTTATTATTTTTGATAATAATGAGAGTATAATTGAATTTCAGTGAAGAAATTTAATATTTTATAAAATAATTGAATGTTTGCTAAGAATATTATCAAAATTTCTAGTAACTAAATTCTTTCGAGAAGTTTTATTAAAAATGTGTTTAAAATAATTGAATTCTTGGGAAGAATTCAAATTTAATTTTTAAAATAATTGAATTTCACAATGAATTTTATTATTTATAAAAATAATTGAATTTCACAATGAATATAATTATTTTATAAAAATAATTGAATTTTTCTGAAGAATATTATTAACATTGTATGAAAAATAATTGAATTCTTGCGAAGAATGTAATTAAATTTTTTGAAAATAATTGAAATTGAGCGAAGAATTTTAATATTTTCAAAAACAATTGAATTTTCACGAATAAGATTATTATTAAAAATGTATTAAAAATAATTGAATTTCTGCCGGAAATTTTATTATTTTTGAAAATATTGAGAATAATTGAATTTCAGTGAAGATTTTCAATATTTTATAAAAATATTTGAATGTATGCTAAGAATATTATTAAAATTTCTAGTAATTGAATTCTGTCGAGAAATTTTACTAAAATTTTATTAAAACTAATTGAATTCCTTCGAGTAATTTTATTATTTTTTAAAATATGGAAAATAATTGAAATCTTGCATAGAATTTAATTAAAATCTTTGAAAATAATTGAATTATGTGTGCAATGATTTGTAACTTCTCTAAAATTCAATTTTTTTAGTGTTTTTAGTAAAAATTCTTCTGTAAATCCATTATTTTTAATTTATAATTAAATATATTTTAAAGAATTTTCGAGTTTTTCTTTCTAAAAAAAAGCAGTTGACATAAAAAAGTTTACTATTTTCCGTCAGGTTTTATACCGTGTTTTTACTTCCTCTTACAAGAAACTTGGTGATTCAGATCGTAAAATTTCACCAACAAAACTTTACTTTTCTTTTTAACAACCATCTAAATTTGAATCAGCAACATTTCTAATAATTTACAAAAATTTATGCACTCGGTAAATATTTGAAATTTTTTCTAAAATTAAATTATTCTCCTTTCATATACCAAATATACAAAAACATAAAATATTACTTTATTATTCAGACTAATTTTCTTAAAACTGATATATTAATTCAAGAGACAACAGAAATTAAAATAGTCCAAACGACAAACTTTCGTTTCCACACAAAAGCACTTTGGATAATTAAAAATGATTTACAGCGTCCTATTGTGCTGGCGAGAATAAGGAAAAAAAAATTTGCGAGAAAAAAGTAAATAATTATGTATAAATCATTTTTCTTTTCGATGTTGTTGTCTGCGTGCGAGAATATTAACGTTTCAACGAGTATTTCCTCTCTTAAAGATAATAATTTATTATTTAACAGTTTAATCCATTATTCATGATTTTTGCGCGTTACGCAAATGTAAATACTCTCGAAAATTCTTAACATAATTTATTCATTATCTTATTAAGGAGAATTATTTGAGAATCTTTATAAATATTTGCAGAGAGGAAACTCCAAAGAGATTGTTGATAAAATGTTAATAATTCTATTGGAAACTCTTAGTTTGATGATGAATAATTTGGCAAAATTGTTTACCATAAAGGTTGTGTAAAAATTTATTTCTATGCAAAATTAACATCTCTTTTAGGAATTTTTATTCTGAAATTTAATGGCTGCAAAATTAGCTAATAATTATTTATCATAAACGTTATTTATGAACAAAATTTATAATAAGAGATGGAATATTGTCGACGTATTGGCGTCGCGACGCCGAGTCAACGATGGAATTTCATTATAGTTATCAATTGAATGTTTCTAATTTAATAAAGCCGATGTCGACTATTATCTACTAAAAATTTACTCTCTCGGAACGAAATCTGGTCTAATTTTTGTTCAAATAGATTTTATTTAATTCACAAATAGTTAAAGAAGAAAATCAATGTTTCTACTTTAGAAATTATTTTTATAATTATAACTCAAAGTATTTCGCTTTCTGAAAAATTTTCTTTTTCCAGAAAAAAAAATTGTTTTCTTTTTTTTCCATTTGAAATTGGATAAAATTGAAAAATGAAATTAAAATTTTTAAATTCTCCTAACATTACGAAGAAGTTATCGACAAAGAAATGGAAAATATTTTCGCTTACGAACGAAATGGAGTGCGTGAGGATATATATGAATTATTTCTCGAAGAGAATGAATCATATTGATTTCTATTTTACGAAAGAAAGCTCTTTATAAGTAGATTCATTGAATAATGGAAACATATAATGCATCAGTTTTTCTTTCTTTACGATTCAATTCACTTCTGCGCGAGAATTTTCAAATTTATTTGAAAATTTACCTATTTTTGTAGATGGAAAAAAAATTTTCCATCTACAAGTGATTGTAAAAATAATTTGATAAATCTAAATTTCTTTTTTCGAAAAAAAATCGAATTTTATTCATGAATTTAGTTTGATTTTAATTTATAAAAAATAGTACAAGTAATTTAGTGTTGTAAAAAATAATTATTAATTTTCATTGAAAAAAATGTATTTTATTCAAATAAAAGATTATTTTATTAAATAAATTTTTGTATCAAATAATTTGAATTAAATAATTTTTATATAATTAAAATTTTATTTGAAGTATATTATAGTAATCGGACTAATAAATTCAGCATTTGTAGCAAATACCATTTCATTGACTTAAATAAAAATTATTTCATATACAAATATTTGATACAATTATTTATTTGATAAAATACAAGAATTTATTATACAATTTATTATACAATAAAGATTTCTATATTGAAGTTAAAAACAGGCCTCGGATATTATTACCAAATTTAAATTATTTTAAATGGACTTTATAAAACTTCAATTATTTTTCAAAAGATTTTACCAAATTTCAATTATTTTAACTAGATTTTATTAAACTTCAATTATTTTTTAAAAGATTTTATCAAACTTCAATTATTTTAAATAGATTTTATCAAATTTCAATTATTTTTAAGAAATTTTACTAAATTTGAATTATCTGGAAATTTTTTAATTGCATATAATTGAAAAACTATTATCTTTCAAAAATTACTTTGAAATATTTTTGAAAATTTAATTTTTATAATTTCTTTGTTATAATTTTTAGAAAATATTTTACCTTAATAACTTTTATTAAGGTAAAATGTTCTTTTTATTAGAACAGTTACAATTATTATTATAAAAGATTGAATTTTTGTATTAAAATAATTGAATTCTCGAAGAATTTTCGGAAAATTTCTAAAAATAATTGATTTACAGTTGAAGTTTAGATTGTAGAATTCAAGAAAAAAAAATGGTAGAAAATAATTAAAGTTCGAAGAGTTGTAATTTTTAGAAATTATTAAATCCCAAAAGGTTTTAAATTGAAATTTAAAAAATTCTATTTCCCGTGTAAAAATAAATAAGTGTTTAAATATTTAACAGAATTATTCATGTTTTGAATATTTTAGAAATTAGGGAAATAGAAACTAAAAATTTTGTGATAACACTGAATTTAATAATCGACGTTTTTTGTATTTTTAATCGACTAAAGCGACTTTTTTTGGCCTTAAAGTCGATCCGAGGTTTGTAAAAAGAAAAATCGAATTTCATAGGTGGCAGCATGACCCGAGGTTTGAATTTGTCTTGCTTTCGCGTTTCTGTATTATCTACTGAAGTCAAAGAACTTTAACTCAACTGTTTAATTTTTGTACGATTTTATTTTCGCTCGATACAAAAATATTTGGTACGTTTGTATTTTTTAAAAAGAAAAATATGTGTATCACAATATTCAACAACCATATATTAATTCGGATATTTAGACTATCGCGATGATCGAAATTCAATGAAAAAGTTAAAAAAAGAACTTTTCAGTCTTTATAAAAGGCGTTATTTTTTAAAATAACAATAAAAGAAAATATTCTTTAATATGAACATGTAATGAAACGTAAGGAACAAAAAGAACTTAATTAACTTCGCAAGTTAAGAATTAACTTAACGAAATTTACTCAGAAAAAGTGAGTAAAAAAAATTAACTTAACGAAACTCACAAAAAAGTGAGTAAAAAAATGTCTTTATAAAAAAAATATCAGTCTGCTTTAAAGAACTTTAATCAACTCAATGGCAAATCGGTTCCTCTCCTTTTCGACATTAATAACTTTGACTTCCACCGATTGCCCTAGACCAAGAGTTATTCCCTTCATATACTTGGCAGGAATTAAACCATCTCGACAAACGCCAACGTCCACAAACGCTCCGAAATGCGTGACATTTCGCACCACTCCCTTTAGACTTGTGCCCATTTTGAGACTGTCGATTGTCGTCAAACTGCTTCTGAAGACTTGTTTATTTAATTTCGATCTGATATCATAGCCCTTGGACATCGTCAAGCCCTTGACGATTATTTCAATCGTCTCCTCGTCTGTCGCGAACTTTTTGGCGAGACTCGCGTAACCCAAATTTGTTCTCGATTTCACCTGATTGATGAACTGCTGATCGCCAAAGTCCTTAATGTCGGACTGACAGAATGTGAGAATTTTGTTTGCTGTCTCGTACGATTCGGGATGAATCCAAGTTTGATCTAAATAGTTTATGGGTTTTTTCAATTTAGATTTGGTTCCGGAAATTAAGGCGGTTTCTGGTATAATTCTGATGAAACCGGCGCACTGCTCGTAGGTTTTGTTGCCGATTCCCTTGACGTCGAGGAGTTGGGCTCTATTGGTGAAACTTCCGTTCTTTCGTCGCCAGTCGATTATGTTCGTCGCTTTGGATGAATTGAGACCGGCTATTTTTCTGAGTAGGCAGTGAGATGCTGTGTTTACGTCGACTCCGACGAAACTCACGGCTTCAGTCACAACCTGAAGAAAATCGAAAATAGTAAAGAAAATGATGAACAAAAAAATGCTTTGAACAAAAAAAAATGCCAAAACTAATTCTTAAGTTTTATTTGCTTTCTTTTTTTATTTGCTTTCTTCTTTCCTAACATTTTAAAAAATTATTATTCAATTTAAATGTTTTGAATAATAATTAAAAAAATTAATTAATTAATTAAAATTAATTTTAAAATTAATGTACTTGTACTTAGAATCAACTGAATTCTCAAGAAGAATTTAACAATAAATTTGAAAATAATCAACTTTTTAAAATAATAATCGTGTCTGTTATTAATTATAATAAAAAAAGTTTGTTTATTGAATTTTATTAAAGTTCTCAAAATAATTTATTTCCAGAGAAGAAATTTATTATTTATAAAAATAATTGAATTTTTGCGAATAATTTTTAAAAAATCTTTTTAAATAATTAATTTTATAGGAAAAATTTTAATATTTTTGAAAATAATGAAAACAATTGATTTCAGTTTGAAGAATTTTAATATTTTATAAAATAATTGAATTTTTGCTAAGAATATTAAAATTTCCAGTAATTGAATTTTTTCGAGAAATTTTACAAAAATTGTATTAAAAATAATTAAATTCCTGTGAGAAATTTTATTATTTTTTATAATATGGAAAATAATTGATTTCTTGCAAAGAATTTAATTATAATATTTAAAAAAAAAATTAGAATTTCATGAAGAACTTTTTTTTAGAAAGTAATTGAATTTTACGAAGAATATTATTAAAATTTTATTAATAATAATTTAATTTCTGGGAAAATTTGATATATTTTTGAAAATAATGGGAATAATTGAATTTCAGTGAAGAATTTTAATATTTTATAAAAATAATTGAATGTTTGCTAACAATATTATTAAAATTTCCAGTAATTGAACTCTGTCGAGAAATTTTACTAAAATTGTATTAAAAATAAATTAATTCTCTCGAGAAATTTTATTATTTTCTAAAATATGGAAAATAATTGAAATCTTGCATAGAATTTAATTAAAATCTTTGAAAATAATTGATTTTAATTAAGAATTTTTTTTTATAAAAATAATTGAATTTTTGCGAAGAATTTAATTAAAAGTTGGAAAATAATTGAATTTCACGAAGAATATTATTAAAATTTTATTAATAATAATTGAATTTGTGGGAAAATTTTATTTATTTTTGAAAATAATGACAATAATTGAATTTCAGTGAAGAGTTTTAGTATTTTATAAAAATAATTGAATGCTTGCTAAGAATATTATTAAAATCTCTAGTAATTGAATTCTTTCGAGAAAATTTATTATTTTTGAAGACAATGAAAATAATTGAATTCTTGCAAAAAATCTAATTAAAATTTTTGAAAATAATAAAAATAATTAAAATTCTTACAAAAAATCTAATTGAAATTTTTCAAAGTAATGAATATAATTGAATTCTTGCAAGAAATCTAATTAAAATTTATGGAAATAATTAATTTTAGCGAATAATTGAAATATTTTCAAGAAGAATTGAATTTACGAAGATTACTTTTTTAATTAAAATTTGTATTGAAAATAATTGAATTCCTGAGAAGAATATTATTATTTAAAAGAAGTCAAAAAGAACATGAATTAATGCTCACGGAATTAAGAGTGATATCCAGTTGTTTTTCCGGAACATCATGCTGATACATTCCGACTCCCAAGTGTTTCGGCTCAACCTTGACCAATTCGGCGAGTGGATCCTGCAATCTCCTCGCAATCGAAACTGCCGAAATCAAATTCGGATCCATACCAGAAAATTCCTTTTTCGCCTCCTCGCCACAACTGTAAATACTCGCTCCTGCTTCATTGATAATCGTGAACGAAACTTCGAGGTTTCCAAAGGCCTTCGACTTTATTAAATCAGACAAAAATTTCTCTGTCTCTCGACAAGCAGTCCCATTTCCCAAAGCCACCGACGTGCAACTGAATTTCTGCACCAAATGAATGAGAGTTCTTCCCGCCTCATTCCCTCGACCACTGTGCGGATATATTGTACACGTCTTGAGAACATCCCCATTTTCCGAAACGACAGCAAGTTTGCATCCGTGATAAAATCCTGGATCTACGCCCAGCACCGGTTGTCCCTTAAAAGGGGGAGTGAGAATCAATTGCTTGAGATTTGTCGCGAACACCTCAATTGACGCGAGTTCGGCTTTCTCGTTCATTTCGTTTCTGAATCGTCGCGCTATTGCTGGTTTGATGCTCTTTTTGTAGGAATAATCGTATCCGTCTTGAATCAAAGAGCCGTGTGTTTTCGTACAGTTCACTGCTTTTCGATAGAGAGACAGTACGTGATTCTTCAAATTTCTCTCGAATGAATCGGGAATGATAATTTTTACCGAGAGGAACTTTTCCGACTCTCCTCGATTTATGGCCAGAATTTGATAAGGTTTAATATTTCGTTCGTTCGATTTGAATTCGTAGTAGATTTCGTATTTATTTTCGTCGAAATTTTTCTTTCCGCCCTTCGGTTTCTTCTCTTCCGGAGCTTCTTTGGCATTTTTTGCCGCGTCCTTAGCTGCCTTTCCTTTGGTAACTTCGATTAGAATGAACGTTTCGTTTCGTAGTTCTCGAATTTTTTCGAATAGCGTTTTATCTTTGCTGATTACGTCTGACATTATGTGGATAATTCCTTCTTTAACTTCGTCTATTGATTTTAGTCCCTCTTTGGATGGATTGATTAGAGATTGTAAGTTTGGAAGATGTTCGGCTTGAAGTACGGCAGTTGTTATGGGTTCCAAACCGGCTTCTCGTGCTTTCTCGGCTAGTGAGCGTTTCGAGGGGGTTTTAAACATTGAGGCGATGTGCTCGAGGTCGTTTAGAGATTTTGTCGATTTGATTACTGCATGAATGTCGGGCGTCCATTTGCCCTGTTTGTCGATAGCTTTGATAATTGTCGCAGCTTTTTGTCTGATTGTTTTTGCTCGATCGTAGAGCTCTCTGATTGCTCTAAGTTGTTCGGCCTCCATTCCGCAGGTCATGTTTTTTCGATATCGTGCTATGAACGGAATTGTGTTGTCCTCCTTGAAAAGTTTTACTATATTGTTGGCAATTGGATATCGTATGTTGCCTACTTCGCTTATGTACTCTACATCCGTCCATTCTACACAAGGTAAACCGTGGATATTTAAATTTACGTCAATTTCTTCGATTTCTTGCGAATCGTCTGCGCTGCTATGTGCCTGAAAACATCAATAGTGGATAAAATCAAATTCGAACATTGTGGTTGAAAAATTATTGACAAAAATTAATAATAACAAAAACGAAATTTTATTAATTGAAAAAAATACGTTTTTCAAAAATAGTACGAGAAATTTATTTTATTCAAATTTTCTTAAATTGAAAATTGTGAAAATATTCAATAAACAATTAGCAAAGATAACTTGTGAGATTTCATACTAACGTCATCAATAATCCAAGGTGCTTCTTGTAAAGTACTTTGCTTCAAATTACCTTGACTGTAAGATTTCAATTTTTCAATATCTTTGAATGCATCCTGATTTTTTAAACTTTGATAATATTTGGAAACTTCGCTTGTTTCTCGTGGTGAAATAAATATTTCAATTTGTTGTTGATTTGAAACATTTGGGTAGGAAATTCGAGGTTCATTATAAGAAGGAAATATTACATTATTTGTTTGGGGAAATTGATATGAAATTTGACGAGACTGATTTAGTTCTGAATGACGTAATGCATTCCTTTGTATCTGAGATGTTTTGACAGTTGATTCCTTAAATGGATGCAATTAGATTAATTATAAAAACTAATTTAATAAATGTAATAACAGATTTATGCAATTAATATGTAATTCATTTAATTAATTCAATAATTAATTTAATTTAATTAATATCAATAATATTTATTATTATAAACTTAATGATAAATTCAGTAATAAATTTAATAAATTATAAAAAGGAAATCTTACATTATTTGTTGTTTGGGAAAATAGATTTGAAACTTGTCGAGACTGATTTAATTCTGAATGACGTAATGCATTCCTTTGTATGTGAGATTTTTTGACAGTTGGTTCCTTAAATATATGCAATTAGATTAATTATAAAAATTTATTTAATAACAAATTTAAAATCAAATTTAATAACAAAGTTAATAAAAAAGTAATAATTTTAAATAATAAAATGTTCACCTGCTTACGTGAGAAAATGCAACCCATTGTCTCGGAATATTACTCACAAGTTATCTCAATGTTATTGTCAACTTGTTAATTGTTTATACATTGATTATCACTCGATGATTTAGTAATAATACTCTACAATTCTAGAAAAAAGTAAGAAATATAAAAATGTCTTTAATGAAAGTCTTAATGTGATTCCCTTTCTTTAAGATATGAAAGAGTTATCTTAAAAAGTATAATATTACAGTTAGTTACATACTTAGTTACTTTTGTGTTTTCATTTTGTAACTTCTTTGTTTTTAACTTTTTAAATATCACTAACACTTCTTTTTAATTTTCCCTTAGTTGGAAATATATTATAATTTTCAGAAATCATTTTTATCAGGAAAAATAGTACAATTAATTCAAATATGTTTATAAAAAATCTCCTTTAGCAATATCGTTTTTACAAAATACAAAAATATATTTGTTATTGTCTTATTTATATTGACAATATTAACAATATGATGGAAATAAGTAAGAGAACTGTGCACCTCTGAGATAAATTCTAAAAAATAGATTTGAAAAGTACAAATTAACAACCTGTTGATTTTTAAATCAAAACAAAGGAAAAGTATGAAAATATTATAGGTTAGGTTACCTCTTGTTCTGCACGTTCTGTTTGTTCTGCTTGTTGAACTTCATCTCTCTTTCGCTTTCGATTTTTCACCCTTTCAGCCATTTCTCTCCTTCTGCCACGACCCACTCGATCTACGAAACCGTCAATGTCGTTTAAATTTAATTCTCCAAAACTATAGCGCCATACATCGTCATTATCAAAGACATAACCGCCGGGATAATGATCATCATAATATTCATAATAAGTGTTGTCATCATAATCGTCGTAATCCTCGTAGTATTCGTCATAATAGTAATCATCGTAGTCTCGGTAATAGTAGTAACTCATTTTTGAAAATGACTCTTGAGAAAGAAATTTAACACACAGAAAGTGAACTATTTTCACAAATTAATATTGTATTTTAATTACTTTACTTAAGTGAAAACTGCAAATTCGCAGAAAATTATGATCAGTTGGACTGTAACGACTGTTGTAAACAAAAGAACTGCGAGAAACTCGCGCGAACACGTAAAGTGTGTTTACAAATCGACCAATCAGAATGCTTTCGTAACAGTTGGTAACTCTGGAAAGTGTCGGTAAAACATTCTAATAACTTACCTGCGAGCGCGCCAATTTCAAATCGTAAAAATGAAAATTAAATTAAAAATTAAATGAAATTAAAAATACAAATTAAAAATGAAAAGAAAAATAATTATTTATTTCACAAATTGAACTTAAATTATTAGGTATTAAAATTACTAAAGAAATGAAAACATATAGTTAAAATCAATATTTAGTAAAATATAAATTAAAAATTTTTTTTATCTATAAAGTTTTTATAATATTTCTTTTAATATTAACTTTATTATTATCCAAAATTAAATTTAATTTTTACAAAGAATTTTACTATTTAAAAAAATAATTGAACTGTTTCGAAAGATTTATTAACATTTTAGAAAATAATTGAATTCTTTCATGAAATTTTTTTTAAATTTGATTAAAAATAATGGAATTTTTGCAAAAAATTTTATTATTTTAAAAAATAATTGAATTCTTTCGTGAAATTTATTTTAAGTTTTGTTGAAAATTATTGAATTTTTGCAAATAATTTTATTGTTTTTAAAAATAATTGAATCCTTTCATGAAATTCTTTTTTAATTTTGTTGAAAATAATTCAATTTTTCCAAAAAGTGTTATTTTTAAAAAAAATTGATTTTTTTTCGAAGAATATTATTATTTCTAAAAATAATTGAATTTTTGCCAAAAATTTTTACTATTTACAAAAATAATTGAATCGTTTCGAAGGATTTAATAAAATTTCAAAAAATAATTGAATTCTTTTGAAAAAATTTAATAACAAATTAAAGAAAGAAATAATTTTTTCTAAAATTTTAAAAATATAAATATAAATTGAAGGGTAAAAATACGAGAGACAGTTACATATATTTTTTTTCATTTTTATTATTTCCAAATTTCGCTTAGAACCCGAAAATTCTTTCACAATCTAATAATGATAATAATAATCATAATGTAATAATTGTAATAATAATCATAATAATTCATAGTAATTAAGTTTAACTTTAACGCCTGACAACGACGAAGTTTTTTTTTATATATTATATATTTATATAAGCTAATCCTTCCACGTATGATATGATTTTTTTTTTATTACAATATTTTACTTACGAGCAAAATCTTATTGCTTATTTTTTTTTTTCTTTAAATAGTATAATATATAATTACATATGATGATATGTTTTTTAGTAGTCCCAAAGATTAATATGCACAAGTTTGTGCAATGCCTCGCGTTGTGAGGCGGATTGGACGGATTAAAATGACACGATTAAAACATTCCTTAAATTGAGCAAATTTTTTTTTTTTATAACAAATTTATTTTCCTTTAAAGTTAAAAAAAAATGGTTATTAATTTTTTTCCTGAAAAATTTGTTAGGTCTAAGAATTTGTTTTAAAAATATTGATTTACTATTTAGATATACATTTTTTTTTCCATAATACAAAGTTTTTTTTTGGTTTTTTTTTTAGTTACTTGGATATCAAATTCGGATTGAGAAAATTCTTATTTCGAATTTTAAAGTATTCACAAATGCCCTTTATAATTTTAAAACTTTGTAAAATAGAATTTCTTTTTTTTGTCTATTCTAAATGAAAGTTTTGCTCAGTTTTTAGAATGTTTAAAGTATCCAATAGTAGATTACTCGACGAAGCCTAAGATTGTCTTTACTTCGTTTCTACTAATCGACGGTCCTGTTTTTTTTTATTTTTTTTCGAATATTTTTTTTACCGCCACTAGTGAATTCACTCTCTATTTATGTATACATTTAGTATTAGTGTCCCAAAACAAAAATTCGATTTACGTATTTGCTATAAAGAACGCATTTTTGGACTTATTTGCTTTTCAATAAATATTTCAAAGTAAATATTTTAAAATACTTTCGAATATTTAAAAATACTTTCGAATTTTTAAAAATATTTAAAAATTCTTTCGAATATTGAAAAATATTTTAAAATATTTAAAAATACTTTAGAATTAAAAATATTTAAAATTATTATTTAATAAAAAAAAGTAAACTTAATAAAAGATATTAATGTCTATTGTTGAATTAACGTTTACAGAAAAATTAACTAAAATAACTACTTAGAGAACTAATTAAAACACAGATAATAATTAAAAACTAATATTACTTTGAAAAATCACCTTTTCAATGCCGCTTTTTGTTTTTTTTTGTTTTTGATAATATTATTAAATATAAATTATAATAAATAAATTAAGAAAATATATTAATGCACGAGTATGTGTTCTCTATGTACAAATAATCGTCGTGTAAATAAATTAATACTTAATTATAATTAAGAGAATGTACAGATTGATTTTTGTTTTTCTTTTCTCTTTTGAAATTTCTTTTTTTTTTGTTCGTGAATTTTGTTTCGGGACATTGTGTTTTGTGTGTATATAATATATATAAGATTTTCTTCGACGCTGATCGCTACTTGAAAAGTTATTATTTAAATATCACAATAACCTCACACAAAAAGCTGTAACTAGTTTTACTGGTTCTCTGCTTTTACGGATTATCCGCGATTACATCAAAAATTAGTTCAAGAAATACTAATTACGCGTTTGTAAAAAGTCCCATGAGAAGAAGAAAAAAAAAGAAAATAATTCTGCGATAAATATTTTTCAAAGAAATACTCTATATTAAATATTGTAAATAAAAATAATAATTAACTATTTAAATATATTTCATTAATTATTTCCATTTAATTAATTATTTTTAATTAATTATTTTTATTTAATTTTTTTTATTTAATTAATTATTTCTATTTAATTAATTTGAATATTTGTAAATATTTGCCTTCAATTAATTTAAAGTTTGTAAATATTCGTATCTAATTAATTGTAAAAAATAATTTTTTTTTTCAGAATTATTTTCTTTTTTCTTTTGTCACAGGATGGTGTGTGATAAAGTTTTTTTTGTGTATGTGTGTTTAATGAAACATATATATCGTTGGCCCTCATTTTTCTTTTCATTCAACGCGCGCCCATAGCAAATTTATTCAATCTGAGAAAACCATTAAATCTTGAACCTACAATTGACAATACTTTCATATCTCTTCTACTTTCTTTTGCTACACCATTTTTTTTTCTTTTTGTCTTTTTTTTCTTGTTTTTTTCTTTTTTGTTTGTAAAAATCCACAAACGGATTTAAACATTTAATTAATTATATAATATTCACATATATTCCAATTCTCTACTAATAACGTACAACATTCTTTGTAAATTAAGTTAATTGCTAAACATTAAGCATTCGGTACTTTCATGCAAAGTAGCTGCATTCTTCAAGTATTAATCAAGTATGATTATTAAATAATTATTGGTCGGTAAGGTTTTTTTTTTTATCTATCTTGTAAAAAAGTGGTCGAGCTCTCGACAAATCGATTGATCATTTTGTGAATCATTACTATTCGCGAAAGCGTCATAAAAGATGCGAAGAAAAATATTTGATAAAGGGCCTTTCGATTTTGTAACAGTTTTTGAAATGGTAAACAATTTTTATATATTTTTTTTCTAAATAGCCGCATCGTTTTCATTCTAAAGTCTCTATTTCTCTAACACTTGTTTTTTATAATTAGTTTTCTTTTTTTGTAAATAAATTTTTTCGTGCATGAAAAAATTGTTTCTTTTTTAAATTAAATTATTTTCGTGCATGAAAAAATTGTTTGGGAACAAATTTGTAATATTTTCGATTTCCTAAAGTTTTAAAGTTTCAATGTGAATGAATTTTTTTTAATTTCAAAAATAAATGAAATAAAAAAAAGAAAAAGAAATATTTATTTCCTGAAGTTTTTTTCTTTTCAATTTTCCTTTTCATTCTTTCTCTTCAATTTTTCTTTTCATTTTTTCTCTTAATTTTTCTTTTCATTTAAAAATTACAGTTTTTGTAACGTAATTAATATTTGATAAAATAAATCGTTCATATTTAAACTTCTAAACTTTAGATTTTACTTTCGTTACAATAATTTCGAAGTTTTTCCTCTTTTTTTTTGATAATAGTGCAGTAAAATTATTACAAATATTACAAAGAATAAAAGTGATTCGCATTTTGCAATCAATTTTTTGAGAACTTACGGTCAATATAATCGATCACGCAGACACGTCGATCAAGATTCGCAAAAAACATTTAAAATACAATACCAACATTAGTAGCAAAAAAAAATTTTTTGACGCATGATATATTTTTATTTCTCGGAAAGAGCAGATATTTTTTATGATCCCAAAGTTCTGAGCGTTAAAACGAATTAAATTTTTTAAAAAATTAATTAAAAAGTTTTATTTTTTAATTAATTTTAGATTCAAAATTTTAAAAAATTCAATTTTAATAAAACGTTTCGAAATAAATCAACTGTTTTGAAAAATTTTTATAAAAATTCTTGTCATGCATTCAATTATTTTTATAGATAATAAAATTATTCGTAAGAATTGAATTTTCTTCAATACAATTTTAAGCAAATTTCCCGACGAATTCAATTATTTTTAAAGATAATAAAATTATTCGCAAGAATTCAATTATTTTAAAAAATTTTAATATAATTATTCGAAATAATTCAATTATTTTCGAAATTCATAAAATTTTTAGCAAGAATTCAATTATTTTCAAAA